TGTGTGTGTGTGTGTGTGTGTGTGTGTGTGTGTGTGTGATGACACTGGAAAGTCACACACACAAACACCCACAGAGCTCCGCCCCCTCCAGCCTTACATCCAAACAAAGCAATCAGACACTCAGTTTCCCAGTACACACCTCGCTGTCCTGCTGTTAGACAGCTGTAAAGACTCTGAGAACACTCTGCACACACTATATGATGACTCCACCACTGAGGCTCCAGTAGATCCACCACAGTCCAGTTTCAGCCTGACTCAAACAGCCTGAATCATACACAGAGCTGCCAGCTGCTGCTGCTGCTTTTGCTTCCAGCTATCAGACAGAAGCAGAACCAGCTCCAGGTCTACAATCAGGATCCACTACTGGGAACCAGCATCAGTCCTGGGGCACAGAGAGAGAAAACAAGGAGACGGCTCATCGTGAGAACAGGACCTGTATTGCTTTAACCAACAGCTCCAAACTGGTCCCCACAGTCTGCTGGTGTGTAGCAGCAGATGTGCCGGCACAAAGACTAGAAATCTTTTATGATCTATTCAAATGAATCATGAGGATAAATCAAAGCAGCCTGGAACAACACCTGGTTTTGGACTGCTTGGGGAAGAAGTCGTAGACTCTGCAGAGCGCCAAGGCAGGATGACGACCACCAGGGGGCGTCATGGAGTGAAGCCTGGCCAATGGCATCACTGGAACATAAAAAATAAAAACAGTCTGAACACAGAAAGGAAACTTTGACACATAATAAACTGCCAGCTGTTGGCAGCTGAACACATGAAGAAGAAGCTGAGACGTCTTCACTAAAAGTGTTTTTATAAAACCTCCACATGTACACCCGAACACGTTATTCTCCATGAGACCAAATCTCACTCAGATCTAGAAACACCTGGTACCCTCACACAGTTTTAATGTCTCACTGATGAAGTTGAATTATGAATATTTTTTTCCAGTGGACTGTGTGTGAGACACCCGGTTTTACTGTGAAAGGAGCAGAACTCCAGACAACACAAGTTCTACATAAAGATGAAACCATCAGCAGTGTGTTCAGTCAGGAGCTGATCCCTCAGGACCTGAGCTTTCATGTGATGAGCTGATGATGTCACAGAAACAGTGAGTCACCTGACTTAGGCAGAACATTTGTGAAGCAGAGCTCAGAGTCGGGTTTGAAGAACATCTCCTTCTGAGGTCTCCACAAGCTCAGAGCTGCAGTATCTTTGTTCCAGTCCTCTGCCTGTTTCTCACCGAACCTGTGAGCCAAAGATGTATCTGCAACACAGAGAACGAGGGTCAAAGGTCAAAGGTGATGGCTCAGGCTGAACTGACACGTCACAGTTCTAATGTTTTTTGCCTAAAACTTAAACCCAACAATCCAACTGATCCAATCAGTCCAAGTTATCCTTACTTTGGACTAACTGAAGCCCTTCAGGAGCTCCATTAGCTTCTGGAAGTCACAGCTTCTCTTTTCTTTGCTGCAACTATAGTCTGGTGTTAATTAGTTTTAATCTGATCTAACCTGGTTTTCGCCTGGGATAAACTGGTTTTGGTCTGGTTTAAACTGGTGTTTCAGTGGGTGCTGATCTGACCTCCACTCTTCCTCCTGTAGATGACTCCAGCCACAAACAAGATCAGACCCAGGATCAGTCCTATGGCTCCAACTATGATCAGTCTCTCTGTTTCAGGCATGGGCGGGACTGAAGACACACAGGTGAGAGTCACACAGGTGAACGGACACACAGGCAGTGTACAGGTGTGTTGACACAGACAGGTATTTACCCCAGTTAATAATCAGCGGTTTATCCAGGCTGGCGTGCTCCACCATACAGGAGATCTTCTCTCCAGACCTTCAACACAAACACAAACCAACATCACTGATATTTATCTGATTTATCTGATTTGTGTGATCAGCTGATGGTTACCTGATCACCTGCAACACATTTTATATCATGGACATGACTCACAAAGGTGTGGAAAAGAGAAATTATGGAAATGTTCACATAACTGAATCAGCAATCGTCCTGTTTTAAACTTTCAACAATATTAAACACAATCTTGGGGACTTCCTGTTTTCGATCTCAATTTTCAGACAGTTCCTGCTGAAACACTCGGCTCTGCAGAAACTGAAACCTCGGATGGGTTCAGTTTTAGCAGGAATGAGGAAGAGGGAACAGCTTTCACAGGCTGAGCTGTGAATATCTGCGTCTGTGGACGATGTTATGGTCATTCAAACTAAAGTCAGTGAGCTGGAGCCACAGAAGAAAACCTGGACAAAGATCAGAGTTAACAGCCTGTGCTGAAGGATCAGACCCTTCAAACATCACCATTGAAGGAGTTTGGTGCTGACAGTGGAATTATCCTTGAGAGGGCATAGGTGGTCAGACTGTCCAGGCAAACAAAGAGTCCTGGTCCCAGGTTTGACCTGGACTCACCTGGGTATGTACTCCAAGTGGGAGTGGACCTGGTAGAGCCAATCACCATTTGCAAACTCTTCAGTGGAAGTGATGTCAGAGGTTGTTTCCTGTCCATTTCTCAACCAGCTCACTTTGATCTGTTTGGGGTAGAAGTCATAGACGCTGCAAACCAACATGGCAGGATGGTGACGACCAGGAGCCATCGTGGAGTGAAGTCTGACTGATGGTTTCACTGGAACATCAGGAAGAGGAGGAATGTTTTTATTTCGTTCAAAGTTAAAACTGCAACACAATAAAGCTGAAGTGACTTTATAAATATAACAAGCCTGAAATGGTCAGACTGTTCCTGTCAAACTAACAGAACTACAGAGAACATGTAGCTTTAACTGAATGTGTCAGATTAAGCCTTCAGCAGTGTTAGCTGTAAACTAAGTGCAGAGAGTTCAGTCAGGACATCAGTGTGATGAAGTTTATATGATGATCTCATGATGTCACAGAAACACTGACTCACCTGACTTAGAAAGAACGTTTGCGTACCAGATCCCAACGTTGGGTTGGCAATACGTCTCCTTCTGAGCTCTCATTGCAGCGAGCTGTCCAGGATTATTGTTCCACATCTCTGCATTCTTCACACCAAACTCCGTGTATCCAACATACTTTCCCACATCACTGCTGAACCTGACAAACTCTATCTTGTTGTAATAGTACGAGGTGATGAACTCGATGTCCCTTAGCTCAGTGGAGTTAAACAGGCAGCGAGTTGAGGAGTAACACTCATATCCATCTGAAACACAAAGATCAGAGAATCACTCTCCTATAGTAGTTTGGGAAACCTTTAAGAACATGTTGTTGGAATGATATGATCATGATAGCTTCACCTTATTTAGATCATTAAGCTTACCAACAGAGTATCAGTTACATTTCATATATATATAACAACAATTCACAAAAATAGGGCAGACCTTATAGCAAGGGTCTTGAACTCCAGGCCTCGAGGGCCGGTGTCCTGCAGGTTTTAGATAT